GAATGATTTGGCAGGTTTCAGAGTTCACCCCTCGTGTTCTCTGTTTTTAAATCATGAGAAATAAACCAGTTGTGCGTTGCGGTTGTCATTGCGTGCCTTTCCTCAGGTGATAGTGCAGATGTCGGTGGAGTTCGCTCAGCAGACTGAACTGGCTCGGATCAGCAGGCAGGCCGGAGACGAGGAGCGAGAGAAACTGGAGGAGGAGCTTCTTCAGCTCAGGAGCCAGCTGGAGATGCTGGAGGCTCACCGCAGCACCTGCACACAGGTAACCCAGCTGATATTCGGGCTGATGATGATCATGGGGAGGTGAAGCGCTGCTAATTTTATCAGTCCAGAAAGGTAGAAGGCTGGTCACAAGTTCCAGAGCAGCTGCAGAAGAGTTTCCGTTGTGTTTCGGTCTCAGGCGATTACAGGGACGCTATGTGAACCGCACGCTAAACTTCCCTCTCGCTGCGGCAGTCGGTTCTCGTCTCAGCAGGTACTCGGAGACAGAGCCAGCCACTGAACTGATTTTTTTTTTTTAATTTTTAGCCCGATTTTCTCCCCAATTTAGTCGTCTCCATTTCCACCCCGCTAGTTAGGACTCCCCCAATCACACGATGCTATCAGCGCTAGGAGGGTGAAGGCTAACACAGGCTTCCTCCGAGACCTGTGAAGCGCCAACGCTTCTTTTTGAACTGCCGCTCACGCAACGTCACTGGTCAGCCGAACGCGCTCGGAGGAAAGCGCCAACCGCCAGATCTGTTACGTCAGCTAACAGACGCCTGCGCTGACTAGCATCGCGCTTAGTGAGGGGGGAGAGGGGCAGCCATCCCACCCAGAGAGAGCGAGGCCAGTTGTGCTCTCTTGGACTCCCGGCTACGGACGGCTGTAGCATCACCAGGGACCGAACTCGCGATCTCCTGATGACCGGGCCGACGTTTAGACGGTTGCGCCACTCGGGAGCCCCTGATTCCTGTTGTTGAAAGTTGGTCAGGGTTTTTGCTCAAAGCTGTAGGTGTCCTCACGTGTTTGTTTACTGGTGTACTGTTAAATTTGAGAATCTCCACCCTGTGAGGGTTCAGTACCTTTTTCTGAGAGTGTAGGAAGTGTGGTGCTGCCAGCAAAACTGAAAAAAAGCTGCTGATTGTTTGTACTTGTTGTTGTCTGTTAACATTGTTTTATATCTTGCTAATTCCGATCAGTGAAACCAGTTCTGGGTGTTCCAGTTTCCTGTAGTCTTTATAATCCGATTAGTCAGCACCGAAGAAAACATGATATGGACTGCTTGACCACTTCTTGTTTCTTCAGGTGGGGGTGCCTGGAGGTGCCCTAATGTTTTATGCACAATAACAATCAGTCAGTGAAAACAGTGGAAAAATGGTGTTTTGGTCCACTGAAAAACTCATAATTAATTTGGTAAATGGTCGATTTTTGTTAATCAAGGTACAAACAGTGTAAGTATACCCTCAAAAGGTGCGACAGTGGTCTTATGGTTCAGCCGCGTGCCTTAGGTTCTCATAGCCTAAAGTTCTAAAACAGAACAATAAAACATGCTGAAGTTCAGAGAGGCTGTGTGGTGTCAGTATTATCAAGTGCTGTCAAGTTGATTCCGACTCCTGGTGACCTTGTGGATGGAGTTTCTCCAGAATATCCAGTCTTCTGTTTGGGTCTTCAGGCTTCTGACAGATTGATTCATGATTCCTCTGATTGTGTCCGTCCATCAACTCCAAGCGTAATGGTCTTTTCCAGTGAACTGGTTCTTCTACGAATGTCTCCAAAATAAGAGCTTCAGTTTGGGCTTTGAGTGAGAGGTGAGGCATGATTTAGCTTAATGTTCTCTCAAAAGTCTTTGCCAACACTACACCTCAAAGGCATCAGTATTTTTCCTGTGTTGCTTGTTTATTGTGCAAATTTCACATTCATAGAGAACCACAAGGAAGACCGCAGCCTGGACGGGTCTGATCTTGTTTGTAGGGACAAATCATTGCATTTGAAGATCTTCTTAGCTCCTTCATCCTTGTTCTCCTGAGTGCTGATCTGTGTTGTATTCTTGATGGATCCTCTGTTCTTAATAATTGATCTGAGTCTGCTAAAGCTGTCCACCATCTCTACATCTTCTCCATCTGTGGTAAAGTGAAAGTCTTTCCTGTCGTCATAACCTCGGTCTTCTTCATGTTGAGCTGAAGCCTCATCTTTTCACTTTGTTCTTTAAAGTTCCTCATAAGGGCTTTCAGGTCTTCCAGATTTTGTACGTCTTCTGCATGTCGAAGGTTATTGACGATTCTACCACCAATCCTGAATCCCCGATCATCTTCCTCCAGTCCTGTCCTCTCAGTATACGTTCTGCATGCAGGGTAAACAGTAATGGTGAGAGTGGACAGCCTTGTCTAAAGCTGTGTCCTAATTCAGGGGCTGCATCCTTCGAAGTAGACGACGTCCTTTGAAGGCTGTGTAGACCTGAGAAGGCTGAACTAAAATGAGACGGTCTGCTCTACGGCAGGTTTCCTGTTTGCGTCACAGCATCGCTCTTCCTGCCTTTACTGCTGCCGATCTTTAAAGATGGAGCCACAAACTTTATTTTTCATTTATTAGAGCTGGAGATGTTTCTCTCTGTCGACTCTTTGCTCCCTAAAACAAAAAGAAAAATTAGTCTAACATTAGTCTAAGTTTAGCTTCAGTCCTCATTGGCTATTTTAGCATTTATATCGTTCGCTATTCGACTCAGTTTAAACCCAATACTTACATTTAAAGTGTCTCCTCAGCCGCCGTTCACTCCTTTGCTGATGCTGCCATGTTCTCGGCTCCTTGCCGGGACGCAGTGAACCTCGGGATATGTTGGCTGGCATTTCTCGGCCACATATGAAGGAGCCTTTGAAATGAGACAGTCTAGTCGTGCCGCTGTGACACAATCAGCCTTCAAATGCAGCCTCTGAATTGGGACACGGCTTAAGTCATTTGGAGCCAGTCTGTCCATTTTCTGTCCTGACTTGCTGGTCAGTGCAGAGGTCTTTCATTAGACCGATGAGATGCTCTGGTGTTGCCATCTTCCTGAGGATATTCCGTGATTTTACATGGTCGATACATTGCAGTACCTTTGAGCATCTCCACCCCCTGTGAGAGTTCAGTACCTTTTTCTGAGGGTGTAGGAAGTGTGGTGCTGCAGGCAAAACTAAAAAAAGCTGCTGATAGTTTATTCTTGTTGTTGCCTGTTATTGTTGTTTATATCTTGTTGATTCCGATCACTGAAACCGATTCAGGGTATTCCAGCTTCCGGTCTTCGTTTTGGTCCAGTAGGTCAGCACAGAAAAAACATGATATGGACTGCTTGTTTTTTCAGGTGGGGGTGCCTGGAGGTGCCCTGATGTTTTATGCACAGTAACTATCCGCAAACTGTCTCATTGAAAACAATGGAAAATGGTGCTTTGGTCCACAGAAAAACTCAAGTAATCGCACAGCAAGCAGTGGACTTGATTTCTGCCCGTGCAGTGTTTATAAATAGTGTTTATAATAAAGTCCTTTGGGTTCTCTTTGTCTGTCCAGTACTGTTTTTACAGTTGTTTCATTACTGAACTCAGGAACCGTTCTCAGTTAGTCCACCGTTTCCCACAGCACCCCCTAGTGGATAGCCATATAATCTATAATCAGGTAATCTATTGACTATTATTCTAGTGATGAACCAATAACCAGCTGATGTAACCTTGCCAATTTTTTTCATCTTAACCTCCCTGAAAGTCCACCAGCAAACTAACCTCACCTAAACCTGCTATCGCTCCGTCTGAGCGACAGTTTAGGGACAGCAGTGAACTCGTTAGCGTTAGCATTATTTCTGCTTCCGAGCTTTTTGGCCTGTGGTGTAGCTGTGCAGTTTCGGCTCATGTTTACACTCGTCCATGGCCGGCCGGTGGTGAGAAGATTGCAGATAATGTCCAGAAAGAGATAGCGGTGTGTTTTCAGACAGGCCGTATGATCCTCATGCTGATGGTGGTGCTGATTTGGTGCTTGGTGCTAATTATACAGCACTTCATAAAAGACTTCAGTGGAGCTGCTGCAGTTTATCAGCCGAGCGCTCAGGGTTCTGTTTGAAAAGCTGCTGATTTATAACAGAGGGGTTATTATCAGAGACTGAGCGGCTCAGAGCCTGAACACTGAGCCTCTGTCTAATAACGGACGCAGTGATGGAACTTTTACTTTACATTTCTAAACATAGCTGCTTCTTTACCGTTCAGAACAGCTCCTTCCAGTGTTGGGGGTAAAGTCATGTGTTTGCTGTTTCCTGTAATGAAGGGGAGAAACAGTACAGTTTAGATTAGTGTACTATTAATAAGAATTATGTTACTGGTGTAAATACAGTGCATTTGATACAGGCTTTCTCTATGTAGATGAACTGTTTCTACTGACGAGTTTCTGGGTTTTCAGCCAGTCTTGACAGTTTGGGTTTTAAAGAGGACGTCAGAAGGAAAGTAATGAGTAGTGAAATAATCGGTACAGTAATCTCATTACAGTTGGAGATGCTTAAGTATTTTAAAGTAACTGCTCCAGCACTGGCTCCTGCTGTGTGAGCGTGAGTCCCTCCCTGAGCTCAGTAGCGTGTCGTCCCTCTTTTGGTCCAGCTTTCATTCTGCGTTTACTGCTTCAGTGCACGTACGCAATCTCTCTGATGATCACTGGTTCCTCCACTGCCTGTTAGTGTTAGTGTCTGAACGGCGATGATGATGATGATGATGATGATGATGATGATGATGATGATCTATCCCCCATCTCCACACACATCTCCTACAGAGTCTCACACACACTCTTTAGCACACATCCTGCAGAGCCCTGTGAGTGAGATCCCTTCTTAATGATGGCCACCACTTAGTAAGCTCTAGGAACTTGAGCCTTTGACTTCACTATCTCATTCCCAAGACTTACTAACTTGTGGCCCTGACTTGATTATCTCATTCCCACACCTTACTAAACCATACCTTTCTTACTTGTGGCCACAACTCAAAAATTACAACTTAATTATATTATTCCCACGACTTACAAACTTATGGCCATGACTTAAGTATCTCATTCCCATGCCTCACCAAGCCATACCTTACTGCTTTCTCCACAGAACTTCACAATCACAACTTAATTATCTCATTCCCATGCCTTACTAACTTGTGGCCACGATTTCTCTATTACAATTGAATTATCTTATTCCCATGTCTTACTTACTTGTGGCCTCAACTTAACCATCACAATTATTTTGATTCTGTGCTTTAATAGCTTGTGACCATGACTTAACTATCCTTTTCCCATGCCTTATTAAGTCATGGCCACAACTAAACTACCACAGCTTAATTATTTTGCTCCCTTGTTATTCTAAGTCATGGCCACAACTTAACTACCACAGCTTAATTATCTTGTTCCAATGCCTTACCAAGTCATGGCCACAACATCTGGAGACGTACCTTCCTGCAGAGTTTAGTTCCAACCTGTATCCAGTAAGCTGCCCCACCCCCTTACGTAACTCTAAGACGTCTGATCCAGCCAATCAGGGACTTGGGAGGAGGTTGATTAGCTGGAGATTGTGGGTGGAGCTAAGCTCTGCAGGTAGAGTTGGAGACCCCTGCCTTAATAACTTGTGTCCACAACTTAAATATCTCGTTCTCACGCCTTACTAAGCCTGTCAACCTACAGCAGTTTAGCCCCACTCACGCTAAAGTTATAAGGAGTCTTGACTGCTTTTTGAACAAAGGGCAGCCAATCAGAACAGAGCCCATTTACATATAGCACTCTATAGGCACAGTAACAGAAACGGCCTGATTAATTGTAAGGGATAAGGAGAGGCAGGAAAATGATGTAGAAATGAATTAGGGCTGTTTTTCTTGTGTAAAACCACACAGATATTATAAGTGAAACTTAGTTAGGAAAAATACAAGCAGATTATAGATTTTAAGGTAAAATCTTCACAAAATCATCAGAAAAATGAAATGTACACATCTGCTTGGCCAGATTAGAGCATAGACTAACACTCAGGACTGAATCCACAGCAGGAAGTACAGACTGAGGAGGAGGAGGAGATTCAACAGACCATCTACCATGGTGATGATGATGAGGCTGGTGATGAAGAAAGGGATCGTGAGGAACACGGAGAACAACGCAGTGATGAAGATGATGAATGTAAGGTTGTTGATGAAGAACAAGTTTTTGTCATAGAGGAGCTGCAGTACAGTGATGATGATCATGAAATCCTTGAGGGACAACGAGAAGATTCAGGTGATGAAGGAAGAGATAGTCTTGAAGTTGAAACCATCTCTAGACACTTGCGTTACATTTCCTTCGCTGCTGGTGATGATGATGATGGTGATGTAATATGGGGTGAAAGAGGGAACACAAAGGCCTGTGAAGATCACAGAGATGATTCTGGTGAAGATCACAGGGAAGATCCGAGAGATCCCAGAGAAGATCTGAGAGATCACAGAGATGATTCCAGTGAAGGTCCCAGAAAAGATTCCAGTGAAGGTCACAGGGAAGATCCGAGAGATCCCAGAGAAGATCTGAGAGATCTCAGAGAAGATTCCGGTGAAGGTCACAGTGAAGGTTCTGGTGAAGGTCACAGAGAAGATTCTGGTAAAGGTCACGAAGAAGATTCTGGAAGAGATAACAGAGATGATTCTGGTAAAGGTCACGGAGAAGATTCTGGAAGAGATCACAGAGAAGATGCTGGTGAAGCTGCAGTGCTCTGTCCACCCCAGGATGATGATGGTGATGACGGCGATGAGTATGTCGGAGGTGTAGCCGAAGCTCAGGCCCTGTTGGCTCAGCTGCAGTATGAGCTCGCCCTGCAGGCTGAGGAACATGCTGAAGTTCTGGAGGAGCTCAGGTCTTCTCACGCTCTCCAGCTGGAGCGCCACAGGGACCAGCTGACCCAGCTGACCACCCAAATACACACCCTGTCCACACAACTGGAGCAGGTACACCTGTCCTTATAGCTAGAGTAGGTAGACCTGCAGAAATGCATTGTAGCTCCACCTCCAACGTCTAGATCTACTACCAGAGAGTAAGAGTAAGAATGCTGTTCCAGGATCATTCTTATTCTTCAGATATACATATGATCATCAGGCGTGGTCATATGAGTGGGTGTTTCTGTGTGTACTTGTGTGTATTTTAGTCTGATCTGGGGTCAGCAGAGTCCGGTTCTTCAGATCGAAGAACTGAAAAAACATTACGTGTATCATCACCGTCATATCAAAACCTCTTAACCCTTCTTGCCTGAGAACTCCAGCCACTCATTTACTTTATAAATAAGTGGACCAAAAGAAATTGAATTCATGAAAGAAATCAAGTTCTGTTAACCTGTCAAGTTTGAGAATGTTTTTTGTCGTCTCCTGAGGTTTTGGTACACTGATGAGATGATATTTGGGCCACTCCAGTTGGGTCAGAGAATTTAGCCAAACCGGAACGAGGGCTGAGTTCTGAAACAGCTTCCAAAAAAGACAAACAACCTGGAAACATCTCGGCTCTTCTGGATTGTGGTGTTTGTGCGTGTGAGGTTCTTGAATTAACTGCACTTTGTTGTCATGAGCGATGAGAAAGCAAGTAATTAGAGGTTAATCTAAACTGACAGCACTGCCCGGAGGTGCTCATCTGCACAAGGTGAGGTACTCTCACGTCATTGAGAGGTGTTCAGGTAAACAAGTCTCCAGGTAGACAGGTCAGCTAGTAGACTGATGTATGAGTAGACAGGTAAAGAAATGTGTAGGTAAAGTATTTTGTTGTAGACAGGTTTGTGCAGGTAGACAGATGTGAAGGTCTGTACTTAAGCAAGTGTACAAGTCTGCAAGGTCTACAGGTAAACAAGTGTACAGGTTTCAGGTCTACGGGTAAACAGGTGTGTAGGTTTTGAGGTCTACAGGTAAACAGGTGTGTAGGTTTTTCAGGTTTACAGTAAACAGGTGTGTAGGTTTTTAGGCTTTCAGTTTTGCAGGTATACCTGTGTGCAGGTCTTTGTACTGATCTGTAGACTGCAGTGTGGTGAATGTCTGGCGCCTCCTGCTGGTGTGATTATTCAGTATGAGCTCTCTCTGAGTGCTGGATCTGAGCACTAACCTCATATTTCTGCAAGTAAACAGAGGTAAAGCTGAATTACTCCGTGACCTGCTGTCTACAGGTAACCAGGTGAACAGGTGTGATCACTCTGATCACACTGTGGTGAAGGTGCTCAGATCCGGTGCAGTGTTCCTCACACTGCTCTCTGCACTGCTGCACTGCTGCATGTTCCTCTGAGCGTAATGCCTGTGTTTGTCCAGCAGGGGGCAGAGCAGACGGACAGAGAGGAAGAGAAGGAGAGAGGAGGAGAGGAGATACGGCGTCCCAGCATGCAAAGCAGCGGCACACAGACAGAGGCGGTAAGGCTGAGTGAGAGATCTGCTGCAGTGACTGTACTGTGTTATCTGTGGTAGAGTTCTATACTGTACCCTCTCTCTCTCTCTCTCTCTCTCTCTCTCTCTCTCTTCTCTCTTCTCTCTCTCTCTCTCTCTCTCTCGCTCTCTCTCTCTCTCTCTCTCTCTCTCTGCACTTTACTGCATTGTTGTTCTCCCTTGTCTCCAGGAGGTGGAGTCTGTCTCCACAGTATCCAATCATCTCAGGTGCACCTGTTGCTATGGCAGCGCTGCTATCATACCGCTGTGTGCCTGAATTTGCCTGTGTGTTTTCTCTCTCTATCTCTCTCTCGCTCGTCCCGTCTCTCTCGCTCGTCCCGTCTCTCTCTCTGAGTTGCGAGTGCTGCCGTGCTGAGCCGGACATTGTTAGAGAGTTTGTTGTTGTTTGCTTGTTGACGTAATGACGGGTTTTCTCTCTGTGTTTTCGCTCCTACCCGTCCATCACCTGCAGAGGAGCGGAGAGGAGGATGAGGAGGGAGAGAGGCTGAGGAAGAAGGAGAATGTGATGTCACAACTTTCGTCACAGGACACTGAGTCTTCATCTGATTTCATCACAACTGAAAGGTGAGAAAAGTTCACACTTCTCAGAGCAACTTTATTTTATAATAGTTATAATAATAATTTATAAAGTACTGCTGCAGTTGTTACCAGCAACTGTATTTAATGATTATAACGCATATTAACACTACTGAGATTATAATAATTAATAATAATAATAATTAATAATAATAATTTATGAATAGCTTGATTTATTCAGTAAACTGTTTTAACTGCTTTAGGGAGGTGAAAAAGGATTTGACCATCATAACCAGTCAGTTACTGCTGACCATCGTCACTCATAGTGTGTGTCTCTCTCTCTCTCTCTCTCTCTCTCTCTCTCTGTCTGTCTCTTTCTAGGAATCTCCTGCGGAAGGCTAATGAGAAGCTGCGTCAGGTTCTGGTGGATGTGTTGAAAACCACAGCAGCGACGGAGGAGACGATTGGTCGACATGTGGAGACACTGCTGGAGGCATCCAGTAGGGGGCAACAGCCTGCACACAGAGGTCCGTAAACAAGCTCAAAACGCTAGAACAAGAGATATCGGTACATTAATAAACTCAATACTTTAGAATAGGAGATCAGTGTATGCATGACCTCAGTACACTCTGACAAGTGATATCAGTCCATGAACAACCTCAGTAAACACTAGAGCAGGAGATATCAGTGTATAAATGACCTCAGTACACTCTGACAAGTGATATCAGTCCATGAACAACCTTAGTAAACACTAGAGCAGGAGATATCAGTCTATAAATGACCTCAGTACACTCTGACAAGTGATATCAGTCCATGAACAACCTTAGTAAACACTAGAACAGGAGATATCAGTCTATAAATGACCTCAGTACACTCTGACAAGTGATATCAGTCCATGAACAACCTTAGTAAACACTAGAACAGGAGATATCAGTCTATAAATGACCTCAGTGCACTCTGATAAGTGATATCAGTCCATGAACAACCTTAGTAAACACTAGAGCAGGAGATATTAGTGTATGCATGACCTCAGTACACTCTGATACGTGATATCAGTCCAGGAACAACCTCAGTAAACACTAGAACAGGAGATATCAGTGTATGCATGACCTCAGTACACTCTGATAAGTGATATCAGTCCATGAACAACCTCAGTAAACACTAGAGCAGGAGATATCAGTCTATAAATGACCTCAGTACACTCTGATAAGTGATATCAGTCCATGAACAACCTCAGTAAACACTAGAGCAGGAGATATCAGTCTATAAATGACCTCAGTACACTCTGACAAGTGATATCAGTCCATGAACAACCTTAGTAAACACTAGAACAGGAGATATCAGTCTATAAATGACCTCAGTACACTCTGATAAGTGATATCAGTCCATAAACAACCTTAGTAAACACTAGAGCAGGAGATATTAGTGTATGCATGACCTCAGTACACTCTGATAAGTGATATCAGTCCATGAACAACCTCAATAAACACTAGAGCAGGAGATATCAGTGTATGCATGACCTCAGTACACTCTGATAAGTGATATCAGTCCATGAACAACCTCAGTAAACACTAGAGCAGGAGATATCAGTGTATAAATGACTTCAGTACACTCTGATAAGTGATATCAGTCCATGAACAATCTCAGTAAACACTAGAGCAGGAGATATCAGTCTATAAATGACTTCAGTACACTCTGATATGCGATAGTAGTCCATAACCAATTTCAGTAATCATTGAAATAAGAGATATCAGTCCAAAAACAAATTCAGTGAACACTAGAATAGGAGATATTAGTCCATAAATGATTTCAGTTAAAACTATAATAGGAGATATTAGTCCTTAAACTAGATATTAGTCCATAAACAAGATACTAGATATTATTTAAACAGTAGAATGGAGATATCAGTGTATAAATGACACACTCTGATAAATTATATCAGTCCATTAACAACCCCAATAAACATTAGAAGAGAAGATATATGTCCATAAATGACCCCAGTGAACATTAGAATAGGAGATGTTAGTCCAGAAATGACCCCAGTAAACACTAGAATAGGAAATATTAATCCATAAATGATTTCTGTAAAAACTATAATAGGAGATATTAGTCCTTAAACTAGATATTAGTCCATGAACAAGATATTAGATATTATTTAAACAGTAGAATAGAGGTATCAGTGTATAAATAACACACTCCGATAAATTATATCAGTCCGTAAACAACCCCAATAAACAATAGAATAGGAGATATTAGTCCCTAAACGACCCCAATGAACAATACAATAAGAGATATTAGTCCATAAACAACCCCAGTAAATACTACAATAGGAGATATTCGTCCATAAACAATCCCAATAGACACTACAATAGGAGATATTAGTCCATAAACTACCCCAATGAACACTACAGTGAGAGATATTAATCCATAAACAACCCCAGTAAATACTACAATAGAAGATATTAGCCCATAAACAACCTCAGTAGACACTACAATAGGAGATATTAGTCCATAAATTACCTCAATACACACCAGAATAGGAGATATTGATATTAATCCATAAACAACTCCAATAAACACTGGAATTGGCGATAGAAGTCCATAAACAACCACAATATAAACCAGAATGGGAGACGTTAGTCTATAAACAACCACAATATAAACCAGAATGGGAGACGTTAGTCTATAAACAACCACAATATAAACCAGAATGGGAGATATTAGTCCTTAAACAACTCCAATGAACACTGGAATTGGCTATGTTAGTCCATAAACAACTGCAATAAACACCAGAATGGGAGATATAGTCCATAAACGACCTCAATACATGCTCCTATACAGTAGAATAGGAGATATTAGTTCACAAACAATCTGAATACATGTTCCTATACACTAGAGTCTGAGATATTAGAGTCTGAGATAGTTAGAGTCTGAGATATTAGAGTCTGAGATATTAGAGTCTGAGATGTTAGTCCTTTACCAATCTCATTAAACACTCTTATACGCCAGAATAAGAGATGTTAGCCCATAAACACTTAATAAGTCTCAATAAACGCCTGTTTGTGTTAGAATCGGAGGTGTTATATCATAAATGACCTCTCCTATGCACACATTCCTCCAGAGTGTCAGAAGTGTGTCATAGCCTCAGCTAGTCCTTCCTGCCTCGCTGCATTGCTGAGCACCATGGGTGCCACACGCAGTGTTTAGCCTCAAACTTGATTCTCCAATTTCAGAACGCGCTTTGCTGGGCTCCGACCGGCGCGTCCTCAGAGCCGTGTACCTGTAATCACATCACTGAGACGAGAGGGGGCACATTTCCTATTTCAGGAGGCTGAAAGTGAGGGGAAGTGGACAATAGCAGCTGCTGTGGAGTTTTATTGACACTGATAGGAATGTTAATGGTCCAGATGAAGACGCCCTCAGAATAAAGGCTTTGTAATATGGCATGACAGATCAGCCTGCCAGAACCAGACCGTCGGCTCATCCTGTCCGACTGGTTTTCTAATGCTGACCTGTTTTACCACCGCATTACCATCATTAGCACCGTCTCCTGCGACTCAGGTGACTGTCAGGTGCTGAAAGTACATAAAGGTGCACTGAGGATCTTCACAGGCGCAGTTAACCAAGCGAAATCATTTAGTGAAAGTCTGGAGTTCTGAAGAAATCATTTTACCAGACTCGCGTTTCTCAGCCGGGACGTCTTATACTAGTGCTCTTATTTTAGAACCCCCACCTCCAGTTTCCCCTGACTGGCCACTTTAATAGAAACACTTTCTCTGTACTTCCACTAACTGGCCACTTTATTAGAAACACCTACCCTGTGCTTCTACACACTGGCCACTTTATTAGAAACACCCACCTTGTGCTTCCACTAACTGGCCACTTTATTAGAAACACCTCCCCTGTGCTTCCACACACTGGCCACTTTATTAGAAGCACCCACCTTGTGCTTCCACACACTGGCCACTTTATTAGAAACACCCACCTTGTGCTTCCACTAACTGGCCACTTTATTAGAAACACCCACCTTGTGCTTCCACTCCCTGACCACTTTATTAGAAACACCCACCTTGTGCTTCCACTCCCTGACCACTTTATTAGAAACACCCACCTTGTGCTTCCACTAACTGGCCACTTTATTAGAAACACCCACCTTGTGCTTCCACTCCCTGACCACTTTATCAGAAACACCCACCTTGTGCTTCCACTAACTGGTCACTTTATTAGAAACACCCACCTTGTGCTTCCACACACTGGCCACTTTATTAGAAACACCCACCTTGTGCTTCCACTCACTGGCCACTTTATCAGAAACACCCACCTTGTGCTTCCACTAACTGGTCACTTTATTAGAAACACCCACCTTGTGCTTCCACTAACTGGTCACTTTATTAGAAACACCCACCTTGTGCTTCCACTAACTGGTCACTTTATTAGAAACACCCACCTTTTGCTTCCACTAACTGGTCACTTTATTAGAAACACCCACCTTGTGCTTCCACTAACTGGTCACTTTATCAGAAACACCCACCTTGTGCTTCCACACACTGGCCACTTTATTAGAAACACCCACCTTGTGCTTCCACTAACTGGTCACTTTATTAGAAACACCCACCTTGTGCTTCCACTAACTGGTCACTTTATTAGAAACACCCACCTTGTGCTTCCACTAACTGGTCACTTTATTAGAAACACCCACCTTGTGCTTCCACTCACTGGCCACTTTATCAGAAACACCCACCTTGTGCTTCCCCCTCACTGGCCACTTTATCAGAAACACCCACCTTGTGCTTCCACTCCCTGACCACTTTATTAGAAACACCCACCTTGTGCTTCCACTCCCTGACCACTTTATTAGAAACACCCACCTTGTGCTTCCACTCCCTGACCACTTTATTAGAAACACCCACCTTGTGCTTCCACACACTGGCCACTTTATTAGAAACACCCACCTTGTGCTTCCACACACTGGCCACTTTATTAGAAACACCCACCATGTGCTTCCACTCCCTGACCACTTTATTAGAAACACCCACACTGTGCTTCCACACACTGGCCACTTTATTAGAAACACCCACCATGTGCTTCCACTCCCTGACCACTTTATTAGAAACACCCACCTTGTGCTCCACCCTGGCCCTTTATTAAAACACCACCCTGTGCTTCACTCTGGTCACTTTATTAGAAACACCCACCCTGTGCTTCCACTCTGGCACTTTATTAGAAACACCCACCCTGTGCTTCACTCACTGGCATTTATTAGAAACACCCACCCTGTGCTCCCACTGGTCACTTTATAGAAACACCCACCTGTGCTTCCACAACTGCATTTATAGAAACACCCACCCTGTGCTTCCACTAACTGGTCACTTTATTAGAAACACCCACCCTGTGCTTCCACTAACTGGTCACTTTATTAGAAACACCCACCTGTGCTTCCACTAACTGGCCGGCTTTTTAACTTTATTATTGTTTTTCTGTCGTGTAACAGAGGTTTGTAGATGAACACCTGAGTGAGAGGCTAAGCAGAAAGTTTAGCTTTAGCTGTTATAGCGTTGCTAGCGGATGTCTGTGTTTGTGTTTCTGGGTGTCTTGACTGTAGTGCTGTATTGTGAGGCTACATGTAGCTCTGTGTGTTTTTGCTGTAATGTGTGTGTGACGTTATCAGTAGATGTACGACAGTAACTTCAGCAGTGCTACATTAGATCAGCAGTGTAGGCTGTAACTTATCTAGCTAGCAGTGCTAAACTGTCTGATGCTGGTGGACTGTCTGACTAGCTCGTAAGTGTCCAATCATCTGTTATATTTCTTTCTGTGGTTTTGTTTCTCAGACGTGTCCTCCGAGAGTTTCCACGGCAGCGAGACGGTAGCGGACGACGCCAGTGTGTTCTCTGCGGAGACGGAGACCGATGAAGGTCTGGAGATGTCTCAGATGTTGCTGGGGGCGGGGCTTCAGCTGGAGAGGGTGGATCTTCAGTCAGATGGGGCGGAGCTTCAGCTGGAGAGGGAGGAGTATCTGAGCAGCATCAGCTCTAGACTGCAGAGCGCTGTGGAGAAGCTTCTGTTCACCATCACGGAGACAACCAGCCAGGTACGGCAACCAGCTTCTACTGTTTACTTTAAAAAGCTCTATAATGTTCATATGATCCACACAGTCACTCTGACAGACTGTAATACACTACAGGAAGTGTAGGGGGCGATATGGCTTCTACTGTTTCATTTAGAAAGCCTCTATAATGTTCATATGATCCACACAGTCACTCTGACAGACTGTAATACACTACAGGAAGTGTAGGGGGCGATACGGCTTCTACTGTTTCATTTAAAAAGCCTCTATAATGTTCATATGATCCACACAGTCACTCTGACAGACTGTAATACACTACAGGAAGTGTAGGGGGCGACATGGCTTCAACTGTTTCATTTAAAAAGCCTCTATAATGTTCATATGATCCACACAGTCACTCTGACAGACTGTAATACACTACAGGAAGTGTAGGGGGCGATATGTTTCATTCTTTGATGCTCTGTAATGTTCATTTGATCCTCGTTCTCTTGTTTTAGTGAATGTTGAGTTCTGTCTCTGCTGTTGGTCGTGTTTACTCTGCTGGCCGTGTTGTTCTTGTGGTTTTGGTCTCTTCGGTTTTGGAAGTTGTGGGAGGTTCTGTGGTCTCCCGGTGGGTGGAGTCATTCCATCTGCTGGCTTGTAAATCCGGAGAATTTGCATTAAAGCCTGTTTCCGTGCTCGGTGTTCCTCTGGTTGTTCATAAAGGGGATTTGTGTGTGTTTGTTCCTGTATTTAGCTTTAATGAGGACCAGATGTCCTCATGATGGGGAAAACATGAATGTGTTGTTGGAGTCAGGATGTTCAGCTGATCTTCACCAGAAAAACATCCTTAGCTTTCTGTTTGTCCTACAAACTGTCAGTAATGGGCAGTAATGAGGTCAGACTAACACACGAGAGAGAGAGAAACATAATAGATCAATAAAAATAAATAATTATATGGTTAAATTGTACAAAATGTTCAATAGAAACCTTTACAAAGATCAATAGGTAGATAAAAAGTTAATTATTCATAAAATATGTAATTCATTTCAAGGATGGAACTCAGGTGTTCCATAGATGAAAAACTAAAATGACAAATCAAACAAATAAATATCAAATATGTAAAAAATACATTTTAACTGTATATAATACAGAAATAAAATAAAAATAAACATATTTGAATATTAAATGTAAAATATAAAGTAATAAAGTTAATATAATTAAATATAAAATATGTAATACCTGTTTTTAAATGTATAATAGAGGAACAAAAGAAGAAAATAAAATAAATATTTTAAAATATTAAAGTATGCAATAGATATATTTTCAAGCTATGTATAAAAAATAAAATTATATAGTTGATATGATTACATCTAAAACATGCAGTAGATACATTTTTAAGTGTTTAATAGAAAAATAAAATAGTAAAGAACATTTTATTAAATCCAAAATATTTAGCTGTAAATTTAATGTTTTAAAAGTTTTTTTTGGTAAAATAATAGAAAAAGTGGATGTAATGTTTTGTCTGACTGTGTTAAGTATATTGTCTGTTTGTAAATAATATAGATTTAATAAAAATGGAAAGTAAACAAATAACCGAGATAACCAGTGAAGCACTGAACAGATGAGAGAGTGGGAGGTGTTTGTGAGATCAGGTGGAGGTTCGTACTGTGGTATTATTGAGTGTGTTTTGGTGTGAATCCAGTCTGACCGGCCGCACTCACGCAGGTGTGTGTGTGCCTGCCTCTTTGCCTGAGGCTATTAAGCTCCGCCCCCCGGTGATGTGTGTCCTGAACACGCCCACTGAGCAGGAAGTGAAGCTGAAACACACTCATTCAGAGACGGGTCGAAAGAGAGAGAGAGTGTGACAGTGTGTGTGTGTGTGTTTCACTCTCAGCTGCTTCACTGACTGTGTGAGTGTGTGTGTGTGTGTGTGTGTGTGAGTGTGTGTGTGTGTGTGTGTGTGTGTGTGTGTGTGTGAGTGTGTGTGAAGGTTAATGAGCGCTGCGTTCTCCCAGCAGGCCGTTTCCACGGAAGCATGCAACTGTTAATGAGTTTTCAGAGAGAGAGAGAGAGCGAGAGAGAGAGAGAGAGAGAAGGGGCGAGAGAGCTGTAGTTACTGAGTGCTGAAGCTGAAACTCTCCTGAACTGGATCCGTGTCCGTGAGTGGAATTGTACGGGACTCTTCTCCGGGTGTGGAATGCTGTGTGGGTTTCAGTGCTGATCTCCTGCGGCGGTGTCTGCGTCGACCTGGAGCTCCACGCAAGTCCGTTCATGTGCGTGTGTGTGTGTGTGTGTGTGTGTGTGTGTGTGTGTGTGTGTGTAGTGAGCTCTGTAGTGTGTATTAGAGCTGGGCAGTTTGGCAGTATTGATTACGGTGATAATCACGCTGTAATATATCCCAGAATGCTTTTCTAAGCACATTAAAGGCATCATCAGCTCTTAAAGTACTTCCCAACTGCATGTCTGATCACAGGGAGAGTGCATTGAGTCCAGCTTAATTAGATTTAGCGTAAATGTTTAATACAGATTAGTGGAGTCATAGTTTTTGACTGTGTTGAAGTTTAAACTCATCAGCTGTCAGACAATAGAAATACTGCGCCGTATCGTGGGTCGTAAAAAGTTGTTGAAGTATCGTGGTGTTAGATTTTTGCCATGTTGCCCAGCTCCAGAGTGTATATACATATGTGTATATGTGTATGTGTGTATATATCACTGCTGTCGGAGGGAAAAAACAGGAGAAGGAAAAACATACTTTACTTTCAATGTAAGTCAATGGAACCAGAATTTTCTCCAAGTCATTTTGGGCCGTTTCTTTTAGTCCATTCATAATCAAATTCACACACAAGGTAAAGAGCAACAGGCATTTCCAAATTATGTCAAAAACTGGAAAACGACAAAAAAAGTGTAGATATAAGGTTTTGTTCCGACAGCAGCGATATGAGTATATGCACACATACTCGTGTGTGTGTATATATATATATATATATATAAATACACAGTACTGTGCTTTTAGACAGTTCAAGTTAATTTTTTTAATTAAAGTTAGGAAAGAAATAAAAACGAAGACCAAAACAAACTACATTTTTCATAGAACACCATTAAAAACAGGAACAAATTCTCTTTCAGCTGTTTCTGGGCAGCTGATATGTATTTGTATGTTTATAGGACTGGACAAAACTTTTAGAAAAGTAGGACTGGAAGGCTCCGTATCTGCACAGTGAATGTTCACAGTGGAAATAAGTATTCAGACATGTTTTTGTTATTTAATAAACTTATCGTGAAAAATGATGGTGGGGAGTGTTTAGACATGGTATTTAAATTTATTCATGAGTGAATAATAAAAATTCTACATATTAAAGCTGCAGTGTTCTCAGGCACATTGCACCTGCTGCCATTGTAAAAGACACTTGAAAGATTTCAAGCAACAAGAAGTATAGTTACATATGCAATACCTAATGCTATCTAATCCAGTGATCTTCAGTTATCATCTAATACCTACTGTATCTAGTCCAGTGGTCTTCAATTATCATCTAATACCTACTGTATCAAATCCAGTGGTCTTCAATTATCATCTAATACCTACTGTATCAAATCCAGTGGTCTTCAGTTATCATCTAATACCTACTGTATCAAATCCAGTGGTCTTCAGTTATCATCTAATACCTACTGTATTAAATCCAGTGGTCTTCAGTTATCATCTGTTGCCTAGTGTATCTAATCCAGTGATCTTCAGTTATAATCTAAAACTAAGTGTATCAAATCCAGTGGTCTTCAGTTATCATCTAATACATAGTGTATCTAATCCAGTGATCTTCACTTATGAGCTAATACATATATTGTATCTAATCCAGTGGGCTTCAGTTATGATCTAATACCTACTGTATCTAATCCAGTGGTCCTCAGTTATCATCTAATACGTACAGTATCTAGTCCAGTGGTGTTCAGTTATCGTCTAATACCTAGTGTATCTAATCCAGTGGGCTTCAGTTATCAACTAATACCTAATGTATTTAATCCAGTTGTTTTCGTTTATCATCTAATACCTAGTGTATCTAATCCAGTGGGCTTCAGTTATCATCTAATACCTAGTGTGTCTAATCCAGTGGTCTTCAGTTCTCATCTAATACCTACTGTACCTAATCCAGTGGTCTTCAGTTATCATCCAATACCTACTGTATCTAATCCAGTGGTCTTCAGTTATCGTCTAATACCTACTATATCTAATCCAGTGGTCTTCACTTAACATCTAATACCTACTGTATCTAATCCAGTGGTCTTCACTTAACATCTAATACCTACTGTATCTAATCCAGTGGTCTTCAGTTATCATCTAATACCTACTGTATCTAATGCAGTGGTCTTCAGTTATCATCTATTGCCTAGTGTATCTAATCCAGTGGTCCTCAGTTAACATCTAATACCTACTGTATCTAATCCAGTGGTCTTCAGTTATCATCTAATACCTACTGTATCTAATCCAGTGGTCTTCAGTTATCATCTAATACCTACTGTATCTAATCCAGTGGGCTTCAGTTATTCCACTAACTAGTGTATCTAATCCAGTGGTCTTCAGTTATCATCTAATACCTTGTGTATCTTATTCAGTGGTCTTTAAATGGCCCCCATTTTTACTCCAGCCTAACTAACAATGCAAAAGAATGGAGCAAAACAGTTGGCTTTGGTGTCGAAAAGCACTGTACTGTGTATGGATGTGTGTGTGTGTGTGTGTGTTTGTGTGTGTGTTTGTGTGTGTGTGTGTGTGTTTGTGTGTGTGTTTGTGTGTGTGTGTGTGTGTGTGTGTGTTTGTGTGTGTGTTTGTGTGTGTGTGTGTTTGTGTATGGATGTGTGTGTGTGTGTGTGTGTGTGTGTGTGTGTGTTTGTGTGTGTGTGTCTGTGTGTGTTTGTGTGTGTGTGTGTGTGTGTTTGTGTGTGTGTGTGTTTGTGTGTGTGTGTCTGTGTGTGTGTGTGTGTGTGTGTGTGTGTGTGTTTGTGTGTGTGTGTGTGTGTGTGTTTGTGTGTGTGTGTCTGTGTGTGTGTGTGTG